GGAGCGCCGCCCGCGCGGCGGGGAGGGCGTTCAGCCTCCCCAGGGAGTCGTTCCCCCCCGCCACCGTTGCCCCCAGCAGCGCGCCTTTGCAAAGCACCCTGGGAGTTGTAGTCCGTGCCGGGTGGGCGTTGGCGTGCCAGGACAGGCACAGGAACCGCTACCCGCCACGCCCTGCAGCGCGGGGGTACCACGGGCCCAGGGACTCTGAGGGGCTACTTGGCCCCTGGTCCCACGGGTGGGGAGACGAGCAGTACTCCGTGGCCTCCTGTGTGCCCCCAGCGCGGGGCTCGCGGCAGCCATGTTGTGGCCTGCCCTGGCCGGAGGCGGCGGTGGCAGGCCGGGTGGGGGGCAGCGGATGCAGCCGGTGGAAGCCGGGTGCTCCCTGGTGTCTGCTCACAAGCGCCCTGTGTAGCGTGGCGGCTGCTGTCGTGCTCCTGCCCTCGGCTCTGAAGGCAGCGGCCGAGGCCCTGGTCATGTTTTCCCCACTGTGGATCACGAGTAACGGCCACAGGAGCAGGGGTGGGATGGCACGCTGTGCTCCATCGGTCAGCAGGAGTGCTTGTGGAGGCAGGGAGGGACGTTAAACTGTTTTCTGCTTCTTTGTGGCCTCTTCCCACCCCAAGAGAAACATCGAGGTCTGTGCCAAGGGCTGTGTGCTGAAGAGTCTTTCCACAGTTGAGGGCGCGTACATATCTGAGATTTTAAAAACTCTGGTTCTACATTAATTAGGTTTTTCTAATCAGCTGTAACTGTCACCTCTTCATATTTAATGTGTCCATCTCAGTAATGCCCGAGTGCCTTGGACATGCATTAATAAATTCCTATTTTCTCTCCTGTCTGCATGTAATCCGGGAGTTGCAGTGGACACCCTTGTGGAGAATTTCACTCCTCGCCACCTCCTGCCTGGCGAAGACTGCCCTTCCCTTTCTGACCTCCCTTCCCTTACACCAGAGTCTCCTTGCCACAGGCACAGCAAATACTTGCAGAGCTGGGAAGAAAATTGTTTTGTTCAATTAGTAAGTTGACTCTAAAACAATGTATCCTAAACTGATGGTGTACGGTTAAAGTTACAGTACACCCTCACCATTTACCACCAGGAAAGTAACTAAAAGAAAGGCCAATCCTCTCTCCGTTTGTTCTTTTTATTCCCTCCTTTTTTCCCCTTTCCTTCCTCTGCCAAATCACAATCACTTTTTAGAAAAGCAGAAACCAGCAGGAAATGGTTAAAGAATCCAAGCCTTCACTGTTGGTCAGATCCCTTGATCATTATTATTTAAAGGACACCTTTCATTAGCTGTTATGTCTGAGAAGAGAGTTAAGGAGTTTGACCTCTGAATTGTGACCAGGGCTTGAGAAGCAAATAATTAAGTTGTTCTCAGTTCCTCCACTGCCTCTATTCTAAGCACATGAGTCTAAGAGCTACAAGTCCTCTGCCGTCAAGGCTGCTAGTGTTCGGGTGTTGCCATTGTACTGGCATTGTGGCAGACGAAGCAAATGGCCAGTCCGTTTCGCTGCCACATTCATCTCCTGCCATCAGTCATCTGCTTTCCTTGTGTTTCCTTTTCCTCCAGCTCATTCCCATCCCAGGAGGGTCTGGCAGTTTAGTTGTCATTCTCCGTAAAGGAAGAATGACAAAAGACCCCCTGATACACTGAAAGCGACGGATATATTTAACAGTGGTCAAATAGTCGCTCTCAAGATCCCCGGGAAGACAATGGATAGGCATTTTGCCCATTTTACAGATGGGCATACTGTGACTATGATGTTTAGTCCAAGATTTCTAACCTCTTAATTTTGAAACTTCCAGCCTGTGTAGGCAAGAGACGCATCTTTGTGTGTGGTAACTGCGACTGAAGTTAGGGGGTCAATTATGGAGGAACCAAAGCCTTGTTTTAAGATGCTGAGCCTCTGCACTCCAAACAGTTTCATGTGAAACTGAAATTTTCAGTTTCATGTCCCTGAAAATCAGCCCTATTCCTGTATTTCATTCTGCACAGACAATATAAATAAAAATTACTGAATACTTGTGAAAACTATAGGTGTTAATAAGCTGTGTAAGATCAGTCAGCGAGTTAGTGACAAAGCAATTATTTAAATAGAAAGGGATATTGATTTTTAAGTTTATTCTTGTTGGAGTATTTTATTAAGTCAATCCTCTGGTCACAAAAGCATCTTTATCTTCAAAATAAACAGCAAACAACATTTTGTTGTTGAGTTGCAAGTTAGAAAAAAAGACTTTTTTCTTTCCAATAGTCCTAGTTTCTACTAACCACCATTTTAAAGAGACTTGTGATAACACTTCCTTAGATTGCATGTCACAAAAGAGTGGTTTAGAAAATAGGCATGCCTCAGAGAGGCAGGGTTATGGAGCCAAATTTCATTACCTGCTACTGCCCCAAAGACAGCAGGTACATATTAGGATCTATAGTAGTTACATTCAGTAATTTTTTTAAAATAGCTCTGGTTCTTCTCAGTGCAATCTCTTCAGTCCTCCTTTCTTAGAACTAGACTTCAATTCTTCTGTTTTATTTTTTCTAAAAGACTGGAAGACTGAGGAATTTTGCTGATTCAGTGAAGTCTTTCACTGACCTTATTTGTATGTTTGAAGTACTAACATTTCGTCTCAAAAAATTCCGACCCAGACAATTGGTATCATTAGCAGCAACTCAGCAACTTTGGTTCAAATCTATCTTTTGAAGGCTCTGAAATGCCTTCTTTTGCCCTTAATTTCTGTAAAATTTCAGATTTATTGATCTCTCTACACAAAGAGATCTCTCTATACACTTGTATACCTGTTTATGGATGGAGAAGTATGACTATTAAAAAAAAAAATCTTAAGAAAACATGGATTTTTCTAGATCTACAATTAAATCTACTTATTCTAGTGTCATTCTAAAGATTGCGTTTTTTACAGATCAAATGCTGGAGTAAAGAGGCATTGTTCACCTGGATATAAAATTGCTCTTCTCCGTGCAGAATCTGCAGGGCGATGCTTGGAATTTGTGCAAATATTTAGCCTGGTGGCACTCTGATTCAGAAGGGGGTCAGACAATCTGCTGGAATATTCATCTGCAACATAATATCGGTTCTTAAAATAGTCCAGCTTAAAATGCCTCCCAGAGAAGACTTATTTAGTCTTTTCTCAGCTGTCTGTTGAGTCAGCCGCTTGCAAAAGGGCAATAAACAGGAAGAAATTCAGGAATAACGATGGCAGCCCGATAACTCTCTCAGTTTTCATGAACTCTTCTTCAGTTCAGAAAAAATGAAAAATTATAAAATACATGAGCAAAGCATTTGAGGTTTTTGCAATATATTTAGGTTTCTCTCTTTAAGAATCTAGGAAAGGTTTCAAAAAGGAATAAAGTCAAATGAGAATGTTCAATCTATTCAGAAATTACTGATTGCATATGTTTCTGTATATTGTGCAGAGTTTTGCAGGGAGCTTTGCTGTTTCCTGTGTCCAAATTCTACTTCATGATCCTTAAGTTTGTGCTGACCCAGATCTAATGATGTATGGAGCAGCCTAGGAACAGTTGCAATGGTATTATTACCACAGGCGTTTTGATATCCATCAAAATGAAGGATACCGTGGTTTCTCCCCGCTTCTCAGGTTGTAGCCTCCTGTCCACAAAGTGCCCCATCGGTTGGGTGGTCAGGACAGCTGGTACAGAATCTATTCAGACTTAAAGCTCCAAAATACCTCCCTTGCATTGCTACCCTAAAGATGCTTGTTAACTCCTCTTACTTCAGTATGATAGCTCTCATGTTTATTTTCATTCTTTACTATCTTTAGCAGGCTTTGGGAGTGTTAAAATAAACATTATTTGCCTAGTCGTGTGGCCCTTCTCCATTTGGCAAACACCAGTCTGTTTCCTGTCTTTTTAATGATTTCATTGCTGTCCTTAGTATTTTACTCTCTCAGAGTGGTGAGACTTAAGGCTTATGGCAGAGTTACTTCTGCAAAGTCAGCAGGGGTGGCACACAGGATTGTTTTCTCATTACCTCAGGGGGGGAAAAATGGTTGGCCTTCAAGATATGTGTGAATCTGTGGCTTTCACAGCCAGCTTGGAAATACAACCCATGCCAGCTTGCCTTCTGATTCCAAATTTCTTCAAGGATTAATGGGACTGCGGCAAAACACAGCTTCTCCTTCTGTACTGAGCAGTCCTCAACGTCTTTCCTGGATCTGAGGAAACTCAGTCCAAGCAGACACTTAAAGGAAACATGGGAAAATCTGGCAAATACTTGAGAGAGAATGACACTGTGGGAGCCAACAGGAAGCAGGATGTCACAAATACAGGAGCTTAGACAACTATATTGAACATGACAATGAGACATATCCATAAGGGTCACATCTGAGGTGAT